GTACGGGGTCCGAAGGAATTGGACCAAATTTTTTCATCATTTTCGGATCTTTCGAGTCGTGATGTGTTATCTATGATGTGTGATGTGTTATCCTTGTGTTTCATTTTAGTAGTTGGAACATTTATACTGTATATGTACCAGTTAAATCCTACATATCGTTTCACAGTGTTTAATGGAACTAGTGCGCATAATTGTTATCTTCTTGCGGATACAGCCATTTCCGTGTTTATCGTTGTTTTGTATTCTTTGAGGTTCTGATGAATACATTTTTATATCATATAATTTAAATGGTTGCATGCAAAGGAAACATTATCAATTTACAACAGGGCAAAATGACGATTTGCCAGCTGCTTGATTTAGAATCGAATACATCCAAATTCTGAGATTTCCTGAATTACTTCGGCTATCGCTGTACGGAGAATCGCTTCATCCAATCGACTCTGTCCCGGCGTTACACCTCTAAGTGGATTGTAACGGCATTTAAGAGGTCTTCTGTGCTCGTCGCTGAACGGGATGAAACTAAGCCAAACCTGGCCAGACAGTTGAGCGTTCTTCTAGAAGCCTACCGGCGAAACCAAAAGTAAATACACATTCGAGAATTTGGAAAGACTGGTACAAAGCAAGATCCTGACAAGATTAGAAAGCACGTTTCTTCGGGTATACGTTCCTACCCCGTGTTTCATCCTCTCGTTTTAAGATCTTTCCCCATACGCGCCTAGACTCCGTGTACGAGCCTCTCAAAAAAATATGTTGGCGAGGAACGATTTCGCGAACCAGGCAAGGTAGAAAGATGAAACTTTGCAAAAATATTCTCTATGCATGTGCGAGCTAAAGATTTTAAACTCAGCTGTCGAGCACCCCAATCACAGCCTCAAGCAGCTCTTCAACCCAAAAATCGTTAAGAAATCTATAGCAACCCGAACCCGAACCGCAATCGTATATGTAAATAAACATTAGTTAACTTGCATACATGAATTTTTTGACAAACGACCGCTCGATTAGATTAGCAAAAAGATTACAAGATTAGCAAAAAGTAAAGCTGCAGCTCAGGTAGGAAGGAGGAGCAAAACTCCCTTAGCTTTTGGGATTTATCTCATCAGAAGGTTAGCTTCAACACTGCAAATCCCGATTTTCATGACAATACTAGTTGCCCGCAATATCACTCCGGAAAAGTGCCACAATGTAATGCAGACGTGGTGGTCTTTCGAGCAAAATTAAGCTCACTGAGAATAAGTTGATCTTGTCGTCAAAATCAAATGGACGAAGATACGAGTAGCCGCCACGTTGAAAATAACGTCAGCATTGGAGGGAACAATAAAGGTATAGGTAAAGGATGGAGGAGGGGGCAGGGGGCTGTACAATTAAGGAACGAAAACTTATAGGGGGAAATATAAAGTCGAGGGAAAAACAATCGAAGTACAGGCTGGAGATACTGATACGAAATAACGTGAATATAGTGCCGCCAAGCTGTAGCATTCCGGGAGAATACGCTTGGAGAGGGCCCTGACCTTGACCTAGACCCTGACTAAACAAAAAAAAACACCTAGGTAGCTGCCCTCTCCCCCTCCCTCACCTTCAGGACATCTTCCACTTCACACCCCGCCAACGCTGATCACAGCCGTGTCCTTCACGATAAAGCCATACCAATTGTTTGTTGATCACAACGATGATGCAAATCTTTTATCACTTACTATGCCCTGTTCGCAGCTTCATCAAAAATAGCACAGTGGAGAGGAATGACGGAGATAATAAAGAAGAAATGCGAATTAGTAGACAGTTCGAAAGGTTGCTCCCCCTCACTGAACATGAGCAAACACTACACCAGGAACACTGGATTTCGTTCAGATCATCAGAAATAAGTTCAGTTATTCCGGGACTATCGATAATTTTTCGCCAAAAATTGTTGTGATGATGTTTCAAGCCCATTCTACGTGAACCATGACAGCTTTATCAATATTTTGAAGATTTTAAAACATACAGAGCGAAGAAACTGCAAAGCAACAAGCATAAAGCAAAATAAAAAAGCCACAAAAAAGCTACGAAAATGCAAATTGAGAGCCAAAATTAAGTTTTAAAGGATTGACAAGTACCAAATAAAAAGGTTATCATACCTATTATGGGAGGGATGAAATCAAGAATGAATGCCCCGTGACGATGTAAATCACGAAATGCATCATACAGCCCTGGAAATGGAGGGCCGTTATGCCACTGGCGTCATAAGAAGTAGCTAGACCAGACAGGACAGGAACCCACCCCTCCTTCCCTCCCTCCTCCCCCGGATGTGAGCAAATTTCGGA